GCGCCTGCCGAAAGCATACTCTGTAGAAAGTGGTTACTCAAGTAGTGCGCATTTTTCTCATTGATGCTCGATATCTTGTAAAAAGCGTGCACCTAAAGGTGATTTCTTGTAGTTGCTCAGCGGCAAATTACGTTTCGCTCAGATTTTATGCTAAAACAATGCATATCTTTCGGGTTTGAAAAAAAGCTTTAAATTACCAGATAATTTTGAATCCTACCGACTGTTACACCTACATTCAAGGTTTTTAGTCAACCTTCCGTAAACATTCTATCAGAGGAAAATCACAAGACTATGCGCAAGAGGTCACATGACTTGCAATGGATGTACATCGTGTTGTATACTTAAGAAGAAACATTAATAAATTAACGGAAAGTGTGTATTATGGCCGAACATTTAATGGTCTTGAAAAGTCTCATTATAAGGAAATTTCTGAAAACCCAAAAATACCTATTTTCTAGTGAAGCCTCAGGTGACGAGAAGCCCCATCCATTTACGAGCATTTCAGGTAACAAGCAAGCCACTCGCTGAGAAAATTGTTTCGGTTGATGAACTTCCAGTTAGTTAACGAGTTGTCGGTACGTGTGTGCCTGCATCCGCTCAGTGGGTCTTACTCCCAGGGCGTGGGTCCTCGGCCGCCTGCAGCCAATCAGTGAATTAATGCAGTTTGATTGGCTACGTTTCGCAAGAGGAGGTTTTCGTATGACGAGTCCGGAGCGGGAAGGGATTAAACTCGTTATCCGGGGTTTCCCTATACTTGGTTCGAACTGAAAGCACATTACAAATTTTCCGTTGATATTCAACAAGATAGAGAATCAACCGCAGTTAGGGGGAGGCGGGGGGAAGCGGTAGCACGCTGATTGACCGTAGCTCGAGTGGTGCTTACAGTTAATGACTCGGATAGGAAATGCGTTTTCAACTAGGAAGGATATGTTTGTAACAGATTTCGACTTGTAGCTGTTAATGATTTTCACTAGTCTATGGAAACATCAGCATTCAGAAAGGGGACAGTTCGATCACCGGGAGCGAGAATGTCCACCCTCTGCGCCCTATAGCGTAGGGACGGTGATTTGCGCAAGAATCAGTTCCTGGAGATAGTAGTATTGCGACGTATCGACCGCACTCTCTCCACCCACATCCACCTGAGTCCATTGTCATGAGGGCCAGAGGCGGTAGCGAGCGCAATGGCTGACAAAGCCAAGCAGCCTGTCTACGGGTGCCATACACGGTAAAATAATTGATAGGTTGTCACACTCTGACCAATGTTTTTGAGACGTTCTGTTTTGGGGTTGTGGGGACACCCCCTCGGGCAATGCAGCACACCAATTGTACACCACTTGAACTTGCTCTAAAATTCCACAAAGCAGCTGCCACCGCTGTCTCACGCTCTCGCAGGCACGTCCAAACAAAGTCAACACTATCCCTGGCTTCGTCAGTGCCTGGGTTCTGTGCAAAATAAATCCTTTCCATAGGTGCCTTCTGTCTTTTCTTTCAATCCTGCCTGATGATTGTAGTGTTCCGAATGCAACCAATACTTAAATCGTACTGGGTCCACTGTCTTTTCAAAGTGCTACTATTTCTCACAAAATACGTAGTAAGCGTCTCCGATTCTGTAAGCCTTCAGCGATGAGTCTCACTGAGGTTAACTTTTTCCGAATACGGGGCTTACCTTCATGATCCATACTTTGAACCTCATTAGTCCCTGTAGACTATGACTATTAACCGAATTTGGTTAAAAGGACGATGACTGTCGTCATGAAACATTGCGCTTCACTTGAAATGTAGTGAACTGACTTTTATTAGAGGCACTTGACCCCTGATCTCTCCTGAATAATCTTCTACAGTAACTGTCGTGTTTTTATGTAAATACAATTGGTGTCTTGCTTACAGCTACTGGTAACAATCTGGTTTTGGGTTCACTACTGCAGGCGAAAACCCCAGCATTCTTTAATACGGCACCGATGGTAAAAGAGGCTAATTGGATGGAGCATATCAGGGTAAAAAACTAATTTAAAGGGTAGAGGGCATAGAAGTAGGAAATAATAGGAACAATTATTTAAATCACCTAATGTTTGACAACAAAAAAAAATTAAAAATACAATCAATAGGAAACAGGGACCGCACAAATTGCGGAACTGTGCAAAGAACTGAGCTAAATTAAAATAAAACTCAATAATAAACTAAAATCTAAACTGAAACCAAATTAAACTTAAAACTGAAATGAAATGAAACTAAGCTAACTAAATTCAGACAAAGTAACCTAAACTCCAACTAATAAAACTAACTAATGAACTAACCTTAAACTAAAAGCATAACAAAACGAAACTAAAACAAACTTAATCTAAAATTAAACTAACACTAACAAAACTAGAAGTGAGCGCCGGACGCTAAAGATTTCCATGCGGAGAGTGCAATGTGGATGGGCTATCCCGTACCTTTGCTGAGAAATAAATGCTTACTACTGCTACCAAATAAGTAGGCAGTTACATGAAGTAAGCGTAGTGAGCCCGAAACCAGGCTGTCGCACATCTACTTAGCAATGCAATGCGAGACACAATAAACTTCTCATTAATTTAATGCTAAATAACCAAACATTCCCATTCACCCTTTCGTACCCTCCTCACGTGCATGCTTTATCTGTGCATCCTCCCCCCCCCAGAATGCCACCTGCGCGTACTGTCAAGATCGCATTTGGGGGCTTGGCCAACAGGGCTACAAGTGCAATGCCTGCAAGCTTCTCATTCACAAGCGCTGCACCGCCGCCGTGGACCATCGCTGCGGAGAGCGCGGTGTTGTACAGCAAGTGACTCGGGAGAGACC